GTTTAGAATTTACAGTTCTTAGCATTTTCCGTAGATGACTCGTAATTGTTTGAGATTTTTGTTTACAGCACTTAGGCAATGGGAAAGCAATTATTTTTAACTTTGAATCAAATGGTGAATGAATTGTGCATCATTGTAAGCTTCCTCTCCTCAGTGGATCATACAGTTCTTAGGATTTTAACCAGCTTCTTGAGATAATATAAAAGTTGTCTTGGAGGTGCTTAGAAATACCCAGGATGGTGTACTGGACAGAGTGACATCTTAGGATTTAGCAGACCTGGGTTTGAATCCCTGCTCAGCTCTGGAAACTCTCTATGAGTGGAGCAGGTAAGACCACTCCTCAAATATTTACTTGCCCTGAAAACCCTATTAGGGTCACGACACGTTGGTTCTGACGTGACAACACATAACACATATACAGGAGGTGTTTATGGGCTATATATTACTCACTTGGAGAATTTGTGTCTGTGTGAAGTGCTGTGGTATAATTTATAAACTTAAGTTATTCATTGATGCGTTGCAGCTGTGATTAAAACATTCACAGCATCCTGCCATCATAAGAATTTAAGGACTCAGGTCCGCTGAATCAGTAAGTCAGTCTCGCAGAAGTATGCTGCTAAGCATGGTTATGCTGTTTGATGAATAACCTTTAAAACCCTGTTTGTAAAATTTGACAACGGTGTACAGTCTTGTAAGTAATTAATGCCTTTAATGACATGCTTCTTTGGTTCCTGATCATTGAAAACTTAGACAACTTAGTTCTGAATCATACTATGTCAGTCGGTTTTCAACACAAACAGATTTTGTCTAGAGTGATAGTAAAATTTGCATACAAATACACGGAATATATGTTGCTGGTGGGCGAGACAAATGGCTGTTGCTTTTTAAAGCTTCTTGAAAGTTTTCATAGAAGAAGTTCTGTTGCAATCTGGTACTTTTGGCTGGATGTTTTAACTATTTTAAGGCAAAAATTGTGGAGCTAACGTGAAGTGTTTTTGAATTTAAAGAAGCAGATATTTCAGTGCATAAATTGGCAGAGATTATGCACATATTTTTCCTCTTGGCTAATGCAAGTCAACCGAACTGAATTTAATAATCTTTTCTGGTTAAATACATTGTGGCATTGTGAGATTTTGTTTTATTTTGGTTGTTTCTGTTTTCATCTGAGAAGAAGCTTTAAAAACTAGCTGGAGCTCCAAGTTATATTTTAATTAATGGTTTCGGTAGCTAGTCAATAGTTTACTTTTGATTTGGTTTCACTATTTTAAATTAAATATTAATGCAATAGAATAGAAAATCCTGTTACCATTAAGTTAATACATTTGAGGGGTATTACAAATGGCTCATATTTGCACAGTGCCACATCCACTGTTGAACAGACAAGATTTATTATGTGTATAATGTGAGTTGCCATACTCGTAAACAAATTGTTGGGAAGTAATAATTAACCCCCACCCCAAAGTGTTCATAGTATCAGGGATGGGAACATTAGTAATGTCTGTTATATCTTCCCTCCCTTTCCCTCCTTTTTAAAATTTTTTTTTAGTATTTTAGATTATGCACTGTAAAGTATGTAAGGGTCAGAGATAATACAGTATCATGCATTACCTCTCTGGTAAGCCTGAGCTTCCCATCTCTACTGGGTTTTAGGAGCAGTTGTTTTTTTTTTTTTTACACTGAGAAGGCACGGCTCTTTCATGGAGTGAGCCGGTAGTTTTGTGGAAGACTGGTTAGGTTTCAACTTGTACCATGTTCTCCAACTTTGGTTTTGGGCCAGTGTGTTCAAGCCACTAGTATGAAAGCAGAAGATAGATAGGAATCTGGTGGGGGAAGAGAAAGAGCTGTATAGAATTTTATCATATAGATCTAGACGGTGAGTCCTTGTCATGTATCATGGTCTTTGTATGTGTTATTGTATGTTGATATGTTTATGTTGTGAGACTACATGTGTTTAGAGGAATACCGTACTTTAAATGTGTGTTTGAGGTGTCAGAAGGATCAGTTGTGTATGTGTGTGTGTGTATCTCCCCAAACCATGTAGGTTATTATTTTGGCGTTTTACAGTAGAATAAAGCATCCAGTGCAATAAACCATATTATCTGCTTCTTTGCTCCCTGACAGTCAGAGGCATTGCTCATTTGCGTTGGTGTCTTTGAGAGGAAGAACAGGCCTTACTTTTCTGTCCCTTTGCTGCCATAATAATGAATCTTGTCTAAAATGTTTACTGGTTTCAGGCATGATTTGGTAAGAGTCTGAAATAAGTTCTGTGCTTGGAGAAAATACTTGAGCTGTTTACTGATCCTATAACATGTTGAAGAATTAATTATTTTGGTGCAAAGCATGCATTTATTTCAAATAAGACATTTAATTCTGTCTGTAATTCCATAGCCAATTGCTTGGGGGTAAGTCTTACCACCCTCAGTGGTATTTACTTCTAATTAGACAGATTCTGCTATAGGTTTCTTTTATTTGAGACATGTTAAAGAGAGAAAAAGTGTAAGCAAACTTGATTATCAAACTATGATAGTCATATCGTAGCTGCAAAGTAATTCATATTTCCCTGAAGCAGATATTCTGAAACCAAACCTCCCCCCCCCAAAAAAAATTCCAAAACCTTTTCATTTACTTAAGGCAAAGTTTGAGGCTACCATTATCTTAATGTTAAGGCATGCTTTAAAAAATGTGAGGATTGCTTGCACAAGCACATTTGTGGCATTTTTAAAAAATTAAAAAAGGGATAAGATATGGAACATTTTCATTCAGATTTCACATTTTGTCTACAATAAGAACTGAGCTGGTTGAAAACAGATTTAACCTACAGCATTCTATAGACAGAATTGTCCATTGGAATGTATAGGAAAGCTCTGTGATTTTTATAATGGGAATATCTAAAACCCAAATGAATAAAAGAAATTATATTTTCCCAATGATTTTTTTTTAAAAAATTCCCCAGTGATATAGAAATCCACTGGGCCTTTTCCAATAGGATTTTATGGAGAAAGTGAACAATTTTGAGCACAGTTGACTAGTTGTCTAGTTACTTTAAAGTTATGCTAAGGTGTAAAAATTGGAGATGTATGTGTTTATATGTATTTATATTTTACACTCAATAAATGCATTATTTCCAAGGTGGGAACTTTTCTTTCTTTTAAAGTTGTATTATTAGGAGATACATCACTGTATGTTTTTAAAAAGTGTGACAAAAAAGGGATAGTGTAATATGCTTGTTTATCTTTTTTAGTTTACTATGTTGTGAATAACATGGTAGACTGTAGGTACCTGAAAAGATAAGTTAAAGCTCTTCAGCTGATCCTTGGGCTATCTTGGCAAAACACATTTTTCTTTGTATTGTTGTTCAAGCTAAAAGATTTCAGTTAAAAGTCTGGCAAATGGTGCATCCCAGCAGAGAAATAAATCCATTATTTGTTTATGAAGCTTTGTTTTTTTTTAAATTGCTGTATTGTTGGTTATTTACGTTACATTTTCAGATAAGGTAAATCATGATTTAAAATGCTGACATATATGCAATTGTTTCAGAGTAGGATATGTGAAGGGTATGCTACTTTTGGAAATTTATTTTCTAACATTTGTAGCAAGAAGGCTCCTCCTGTGTTCCTTTTTTTATGACACACAATACTGCTATCCTAGTCCCTCCCACTATTCTGAAAATCAGAGTTTTGTGCAAGTCCTTTCTGATTGCCATTCTCAGTCCCATCATAAGTGGTAGATAATAGTAATGAAACAAACAGATGCATATCAATGTAGTTGATTTGGGGGAGGGGCAAAATGCTTTTGAGAGAATATGGAAGTGAATCGGTCCTGCTGTTCCATCTGCTGCGCCTGTTTCCCCAATTATGAATAGTCTTAACAGGTTTGTGCGGTAATTCCATGTGACAAGTGGCAGTTTTGGCTGCTGTTGTGCCATGCCAGCATAACTCATGACATCATTTTGGTTTATGTGATTGTGTTTCCCAATGAAAATGTTTATTCTCAGTTATAGCACAGTTTGTTAAGTGGGATGCTTTGGAGAGGTACAATCCATCCTTTCCTCCAATAGATCACTAGTGTGAAAACATTTAAATACTCTTATATAGCTCCCTGAGTACTTGTACTAAGAGAGATAATGTATTTTACAGTGGAGAATATGTGGATACAGCTGCCATCATGTTGATTTCTGACTTGCAGATCACATTGATTTTATACCATGCTGTATCTTCTAGGTTTCATGGTCTCTGAGAGAGCAGGCAATTTATATTGTAATTTCAATAAAGTGAAGTGATGAAATGTGTGAAAAATTGACTTCTCCATTTTCTATAGGTTTGGGAAACACATGTCTCTCCATATATTTTCGTTCTGGAATTCCCATAGTCCCTCACTTGTTGGCTATACTGTCTATGGCTGATCAGATTTGTAAGCCACTTATTCCCTTCCATTATCCTGAAAACAAGAGTTTCATGTCAAACTGAGGAAATCATGAATATATTGTTCTGCTTATCATACTTTTAAAAACTTTTGTTTAGCTTCAGAGTTTCCAGTGCTATCTGGCTTCCCAGCTGTTTTTAAAACAATCTGTAAAAACTATATGTATTTGTTAACTGATTTTGGATGTGAATTTACTTTTAGAATTAATTTACTTACCTCTCATGGGGGAATTGTATTCTAAAAATACTTTCTGGATTACTTTTGAAATGAAATATGTCCAGACACTTAAAATAATAAAATAAAATGTCAGTTTGGTTTGCCAAATGTTATCTTGTTAGTCAGTTGTTGGAGGCATAGCACAGATCTCTGTGGGATCTAAAAGACTAACAGTGCAGCCTTGTGTATGTCTGCTGAGAAGTAAGTCTTATTCCCAATCAGTGCATACAGCATTGCAGATTAATAGATTTATAATGACATTTCATGAACTACAGATGTGCTCTCTTCATGTTTTTGTGCGGTTCTAGCACTTTCTGAATAGTTCATTCACAGATTCGTGTTTGCTTTTCCTTTCTCTTCAGTTTTTGGATCAACAGTCAGAAAACCTAAACAGGCAGTCTTAAGGACTGAGTTTCTTCTTGACGTCTTTAAGACAACCACTACTGCAATTTTTATCTTCCCCATTTAAAGGTGCTGTGTGAATAAGGTGAGATTTAAACCCTTCTTTTTCATTTATTTTATTTTATAAGGAAACTTATTTTGAAGTGGACCTGTGTCCCACTAAAGACAGAAATTGTATTTTTATATATAAAATGAGTTTCATTCTCAGTCCTTGAAGTCTGGTGTACCTCAAATTTCCACCCCCACCCAAAGCTCCTAATGATTTCTTTTCAAAACCTAAGATTTTATTGTTGCTGCTGCTATCTGCCCTATAGGTAATCTCAGTGTTCTGGGAAGGGGGAAATAAGATTCCCTCCCCCCCCGGCCTTAATTTTAATCCAGTAAGATTTTTTTCTGATGTAAATAGGTTCTCATTTTAAATAGTTCATTAGTTTATGTCTTGGAGAGTTAGTTGAAGAAACACACTCTCTGTGATGGTGATAGCTTACAGAACTGGCCTGGAAACCTGATCAGTCTCAAATATGAAATCATGAATGGGCAGTGAGTGGAACAAATGGCAGTGTTTGACCTATGTAACAATAAAGCATAAATAGCAGAAACCCTGTCTATATCTTTTTTACGGAGGGGATGGGTCTGAATAGTTGTGTAAGTATAGTACTTTCAGCCAAAAAACAAAACAAAACAAAAAGTTTTGTGGTACTTTTAAAACCAGTACATTCAGTGTGCATATCACAGTCAGTTTCTTAGAGCCCACAAGGCATGATAAGAAGGCCACAAGTTTATATAAATAGCATTTGTGATTGTGGGGGTGGGAGTCAAAATAAATGGGATATAGCAAATGACAATTGCTTTATTAACACTGGCAATGAACGTTCAAAGTATCAATTACATGAGGATCCTGGCTTTAAGGTAGAGTAATTATGTAATGCAAAACATCTATCAGCTAATCCACCATGATTAGTCAGGTTTTAGCATTTGATTTGAAATTTGGTTGTGCTGATGTCAGAGTTTTACCAAAGAAAACAACATCTTGACGATACACAAGTAGTGAATATCAACCATTTCTGTATATAGACTGGATTCCTGTTGTGCTGCATAGACTGCAATTTTTCAGGCATTAAAAGTTTCAGTTTCCTACCAAAGGTCCCAAGGATTCCTTGGAATTCCTTTTGTTGGGGGGTAGCTGTTAGGGACTGCAGTCTTTAATTTTTGAGAATCACCACCGGTGGGATGATTTTAATGGTGGTGAAAATTTTCAGAAATTAGAGACTTCCCTCCCCATCCCCTGTGAAGAGGGGAGTGCGTGGGGGGGGGAGGTCTGTCTCTACAGCCTGGTTCGGCTCAGGCCACGGACTGGCTGCGGACCAGGGGTTGACGAACTCTGTCCTATAGGATACTGACCATTATGTCTTATACACACAGTGTACAACTTATGTTTGATAGAGGCAGTGAGGGATATGTCACACTTTAAAGAAAAATACTTTCAAGAACGAGTTGTCTGTTAAGGCATGCAACTTGCATTGCAGTTTCTAGGTTAAATGGGAGGAGGCATGTTTAAATAAAGTTACTTAGAAATAATACTTTTTCTGAATGATTAATGGCCAGCCCAAACATTTATATTTTTGTTACTTTTGGTAGGAAAGTTACATAATGACTGACAGAGCAAATGGAATAAGCTGTGCTGTTATAAAGTTTATTTGGAACCACCAGCATATTATATATATGTGATGTGCTTTATAATGAGTAGACATGTTGTACTGAGGGGGTGTATGAAGGCGCTGGTTTTTACACACAGGCCTTGTTATGCTGTATCTGTGCAGAGACTTATGGTGTCCTCATTGAAGTTACAATGCCATCAGTTCACATGGCAACAGACCACCATAGGATTTTATACAAGTTCAACCTCCCCATCACCACACTAGTCTCAACTAGGATCTTATAGTGTTCATCAGTCCATAGTTTGTATCTGCAAAATATATTTATAGAATTATCAAATTGTTCTTATTAAAAACTCAGTGATTCGCAATCTTCTACATTTGGAAATGTACAGTTATAATATAAATAGCCTAGAACGTGGTTGGCTGGACAGTGGGATCATAATCCTGAAATAAAAGCCAGAATAAAGGTGGCCCAGAGCAACTTTCTTAAGAAGCAGAGGCTAAGATCCTGTTGTGTAAAGTTACACCATGTAAGTCTGATGACATATTTAGCTGTGGCCAAATATTGGTAATAAAATTTTTTCTATCCTCCCCTCTTCAAGACTCCTAATCACCCTTTGGATCCCTTTGATTTTGGGGAATCTGTTGGGGCTCATAGGACTGGTGGGGAATCTTAAATATCAAAAAATTGCTGCCAGTTATTTCACTGTGGCTGCTGGACCAGTGGTGGTTATTTTGGGACCTTGAAGACTCCCTCTCTTAGTTGTGCAACTTCAAAAGTCTTCTCCTGGGGACTGTCTATTCTTTCTTGCAAATGGACTTGACAAGAATATTGTAGTTCTTGGTAGTCTTTATCAATTCTGCCCTTTGTATCATTGGCTCCCTTACTTGACAAGGTGAAAAGCATGGTGCATGGTTGAAAATACAATCTCCAAGCATGTTGACCAGCTTTGATTGCATATAAAATTGGGAGTTTATATACATATGCTGAGTAAAGATAATTGTCAAAGACAACTTTTTCAGTGCTGATCAAGACGAACTTGAAATTTTGTGACAATATTTTGCCTTCTTTGATGAAGTTTTGTTTTGATATGTATATTATGATATATGTTTGGACTTATTTTTGTGAAAATGTTATGTGTGTTGATGGTTGTAGGGTAATCTATAAATATATGTTCCAGACATGTCTGTAACTGGGGAGATTAGTGCCCCCTGCTGTCTATTTGTGATCTGTGTTTGTTTGTTTGGGCAGCTGTATTTTCTAGTGCTTTTGCATATATAAACTTAAAGAGAAGTGTCTCAACAAAGTTGAGAAAATTTTAGTAAATTGAAAGTGCCAATTCCATTATTATTCTGCTGTAATTATGAAGGTATATAGAAATATTTTTGTGTTCATTTTTGTTTTCCAAAATATAAACATATTATGTTTGCCAGAATAAGTGCAGTGACTGTGAAGATAATAGTTCCATAGTATGCATTGTAATATACAATGTGAACAAGTTCCTGTTTGTATAAGTAAGAGATAATAAATAATAGGCACAAAGATTTTCAATACACTTTCATAGGTAGTAGTGTTAGACAAGATATATATGCACACAGACACACACAAACAAATAAACCAAGGCCAGAAGTGTTGTGACTCCTTGGAGACAAAAAAGTTTTCTTTGGCATAAACTTTCATGGACTATAGTTGCTTCTTAGATGTAAATATAGATATGGATATATAACATCTTTAGTACTGAAGTATGAGAGTACATTTAATCTACTTGACAGCAAAGAACTGACAACATTAGCTGGTGTTATAATATTGTACTTCCTGGGATTCAGTAGCTTCTGACATTTTTGAAATCTATTTTTATTTTATGAGTCAAAAATTCTTAACTCATGTTTTGGTTTGTGTATTGACCTCTTGTAGAGTGAAATTAATTTACTTAGAAATGAGTTGAAATTCTGTCTCGTTCACATATGTATAATCTATATTGGGTTTTTTTTCAAAAACATTTTCAGCCTCTTATGATCGATGCTATCTGTGACTACTAGCTCTGAATACCCTGCTTTTTCCTCTGTACAGTTATTCCTCCAGTGCTAAGAGGTAGAACTTTATGTTGGGTAGGTGTGCTTTTCATTGTGGAATTTACCAGTTGTGAGGAATCTAATTTTCCCCCATAAGCCTGGCATAGGTAAAGCGACTCTCTTCACAGTGTCCTACAGATGATTGCCACTTAATTGGCAGAAGAGACAGAGGTTGTGTCTGTTGACCTGAGCTGATAGTTTGTTTGGGCTGTTTGGAAGTTGTGTCTGTACACTTGTGGATATTTCATTGCATGTGTGTGCTGTGCTCCAAGCATAGGCTGCTAGGGGAATGGCTACATAGCTGAGAGGAAATGAGTCACTGATTTGATTGGGGGAGGAGCTAGCAGCTGTCAGATATGTAACTGTGTGCAGAGTCCTTCTGAGCTTGGGAGCATGGGCTTGTGAACAAAGTGAGTAAACAAGACACATTGTCTGGGAGTTTGAAGGGAAAGCTAAGAATGTTGTTTCAGCACTTGCATAAGATAATAGATGGACACTGAATGAGCTTTAGCAGTGACATGCAACACCTGTGGTATCCTGTCTTCCTGCTGAGGATATAGAAACCTACAGCTGCAGCAAGTGCAAACTGCTTACCCTGCTAGATGAGAAAGTACAGCAGCATGAGGGTTGCCTATCCACAGTGTGGCTCATTGGGATAATGAAGTGTTTCTGGGTGTAGTTGAGCAGACTTTCCTGAAGGAGCAATAGTGGGTTGTGTCTTACCCCTTAGAAAAACAGTAGGAGTGTTGGAAATGAACAACAGGTTCTGCAGATGGTGTAGTTAAGTAGAGGTTTAGCTTCTTGGGCCATGACCTGTGTTTGTTTAAGTAGGACTCCTTGTAAATAATGGATTGAAAGACATAAAAAGAAATTTGGGTGGGTGTGTAAGTTGTTTTCAGATGAGATGAGATTTTAAAAAGGCATGACAGGAGGGGCATATCACCGGGAAGAATATGGATGATTAGCCAGAATTGGTTGGAAGAAAGTCAGGAGAACTAAGCTCAGAATATGTAATATCATGCTCTTTAGAAAGGTTAATAATGGAAAAAGACACCCCCTCCCCAGTTGTGCATGTAGCAGCTAGAAGACCTGGGAGTGGTAGGTCTGCTGTGCGAAGAGTAGAACTGTTCTCCACGTTGAGTAATGCGTCGAGGTTTGGACACCGCACTTTAAAAGGGATGCTGATAAACTGGAACAAATTCATAGAAGGACAACAAGAAGGATCAGAGGACTGGAAGCTAAGCCCTAAGAGGAAAGACTGAAAGAACTGGACATGTTTAGCCTTAAAAAGAAAAAGAAAAAGAGGAATGATATGATAGCACTCTTTAGATACTTGAAAGATGGTCATATAGAA